GCTGTCCTACCGGTCCTTTGTTTCTCGCTCATAAGCTATGGCACATGGCCATCGCTGTCGTAAAAAGGTGAAAGCAACTAGACATATGCCACATACGATTTTACAAACCGGCCTGGATTCACTGGCTTTGCCCTGCAATCACCCTCCAGGTACAAGTCGTTGCCATTATAAACTATACCCTTTACAAGCTTTACTGACTACTCCCTTGCTAGTACTGGTTGTCGAGAAAGAGTAAAGCATTCACGACGCTCACACTCAATGCTGCGTCGACAGCTGCGATCGCTCGGCGTCCGACCCACAAATCCGGGAAAAGCGGACAACAAACCATCAAAAACAGCCGTATGAGGCAATACGGAAAAAGTCACGGAACTACATCGGTGATAGCAGCGGTACGTCCACAAAGACGCTTACAACAAACGTTGTCGAACTACTGATCGGCGACTACTGAATTATTGAGCATGACATCGCTATAGCGTTCTGTGGACGGACAAACAGACTCGCAGACCAGAAGCGTTTCGGGCAGTTGTGGAAACGGCAAACGCAGCAGCATTCGTTCTGGCTGTGGTTGTTTTTGGTAATGTCAGCCGGTGAAGTTAAGTTTTGTGTTTAGAACCAGCAAAACACGATAATGCGCGCAATATCTATAGAATTACATTATACGACTTAAGAGTAAAGCACCTACACGAAAACACCGAGTGGTCAAAATAGCGGTAGCTTTGAACAGCGGTACCATGTGTGTCGCACTACAGATATAATTCGTGGCTGTGTGCATACGCTCGTAGACTTCACGTACTTTCGGTGACTGAAACGCCATAACAGATAGTCGCTACAGTGCGCTTAGTGGCAGGAAAAAGCTATAAAGTGAAGTTCCTATAACACCACGGAAAAAAATATCACGCCAAGATGGAATTTCTTTTCAATAATCTCAGAGATCACTTAGCCAAACAAGGTTTTCCTTCCGAACTTCTGCAGGGCGGAGTGGGCGGTGGCTTCGGAGGAGGCGGTTACAGGTTTGAAACAAACTCACATTCGTTCAGCACACAACTGCTGATCTGAATTTTACGGATATCACAAACTATCTAATACAAAACTATGGTTAATGCATTTTATAGTGTATGATGGCTATATGAATGTGTTTGTGTGTACATAACCGTTTATGCCTTGATTAGTATTTTTTTATTGATATTTATTGTGTTCCTTCCGAGTTATTTTCGAACACGACGGCGATATGCAGAAGAGCCTTTATAGTGAAAGCACTGCAATGCGTGCAATGTTTCATGAGAATCTTTTGTGGAACATTCGAGTATCCAAGGTTCTAGGAAGGCGATTGCATTGATTTTTAGTGCATAGGTAGGGAAGCAATGCTGATAGAAATCAAGCGGTTTTTCAGGTCATCACTTCTGCCAACAGCTGCTCTACGACGGAATACGTGGGTTAACTGATATCATCCAAAAATTGTATCTACTAGTTGCAAACGATCATCTACAGATTACTAAGCAGTATTCATTGCTATTGTGCAGGGGCTTCGGTAAATTAGCCAGCGGCTGCGTTGCGAATTTACATATACGAAGTATACAAGTCGGACTCATTACGACATTAGGACATACGACATAGCAGGAATAAATAGGTATTCATCGTGCTGTTCTACTGATGCAGTGCCGAAACGTCCTGTTATTATTAATTCGATGGAAATCGGTCAAGTTTTTTTCGCATACGAAGGCTAAACCAATTGCTGAGTATTGAAAAACTGCTTTACCTCACTCAGTCTCTTTATACATATATATATATATATATATATATATATATATATATATATATATAGTCAAATTTACTTCGTAAGCAGAGCAATAGGACTATTTCGGAATCTTTAAATGTTCTTAGCACCCAACGCTAAACGAATGACATAACTAGAAAATCCATTTTGTATGTCGGTACAATTGTCGTAAACGTGTTTTAAAAACTACTTTTGAAGTACCTATAGTTTGCGGGTGCGAGTACGTGGGTGTGCCACGCTTATTTGAATATTTGATTTTTATGCGGCACTGATTTGGTGCAAAATGGCGGTCTAATGTTTTTATATAATTCTTTGTGCAGTCGCTACGCAAAATCTAGTCAACGATGACTAGGCTTATTGTCAGGAGTCTGATTTACATTCCGATCAGATACTTAATATGCAACTAACTACTTTGGAGACATTTTTGACATCAGTTTCTGCCTTTCCGAACACCCTTTGATCCGGTGCAACACTTTACTACCTTACGTGAATTAGTCTTGCAAGCCAACTGTTACACGCTGCCCTCTGGATATCGACTGCAGCGACCGTGCCCATCTAAAACCATTCGCTGATATTCAGTGCCACTGAAATACGCAGTAGGATTCGATTAGCTAGAAAATCAAATAATTTTCTAATCTATGGTGACCTGTCTCAAGCTCAAAATGAAGATCCAAAAAAGTCAGTGTGTGGCGTTTGCTCTTTCGATTACAGATTTATAGATTGATCGACTGCCCAACGTACCGTCGTTATCTATTGGGCAGCGACAACACGTTTTTACAAGAACTATTTGAATCGTATTCGTGTAGACATATATAAATAGATGCAGACAATACAGCTATCTGTTTTCCTGTGATATTCAATGCTTAAATTTACGTGTCATCCGTTAGAGGCGGAACGCGTACCTCGTTTAATCACACTATTCTATTGACATAAACTTATAGCATATTGGCATTGCGCTAATCCAAGAACTATATATAGTCTGAAAGGGAAGAGACACTAGCGAATTTTGTATAAGGTTAGATCCATCCAATGAGACCTCAGTCGGCTCCAAGACGATAATTGCCCATAAACCAGCAACAACTTGAAAGTTGACCACGATAGTGGAGAAGCAAAGATGTTGCGAATTTTTACGTAGGACTACACCAATCTGAAGTACGCTTTTCACTCGGCTTTCCGAGCAGGTTTTTATCGGCCGGCGGATACTGGCGTTGGTATCGGCTAATAGAAGTAAACAAAAAATGGCAGAAATGCAAATGAGAATCACGAAGGCAAAAAAGAACCTAACCCTCCAAATTTGCTGTAGTCGCTCATACGTACTTATATCAATTAGAATAATTATAGTATACGTCTGTTTGGAGCGATTTTGTTATGTTGTAACTTATCAGCAACGCTGATTAACGTCGTTATTGGCTTTTGGATGACTCACAGATCTATTGTTTGATTATATCGGGCTGGGGCGCTCATCAAACATGGCTTGTCCAGTAGGAATAGAAAACCCGTTTCTACCTATACGATAAATGTTCTAGTTAATCTAAAGACCACTGTAGATGATTTAACGAGTATAAAATAATTCATATACAAGAAGAAGCAACTGAAAACTATCAGCGTTGATTTAGCACGTTGACCCATTCTTTCCCGGGTGAATTTATACCACAAAAAAAGTTCAAAGAAAATAAGCCTCATTTTCTGAGGAGTCTGATCTGACGATAACACTTCCCTATTTTAACTACAGTTGTTATTTATTGGCGTTACCATAAAACTGTTTGACGTCTGCGCGTGAATCACAGATATATATATCTATATATATGCCTTTACTTTACCAATCTATACGACTCTAGTATATTAAACCTGCGCGTTATTAACTCGCTTGTAAATTAAGTTCCTTAAAGGAGCTCGGCGTTGGGTTTATGGTTAGTTCGTTGAAATGGGTGGAGTTGTTTTAAACTAAATGAATTTATTATAAGTACGCATCATCGAGCAAAGCAGGACAAAGAAAAGGTTATTTTTCTAAGTAAAATTTAACAATAGATCCGGAAGGATTTGGGATGAGCTCACAGCGCAACTGCCGGCGCCGCAACATGTAACCGTGGACCTAATAGCTTGTCGAATATGCCGGACATGCGACGGCAAGGCCATCGTTTATTTTTTAATATGATGTTTTGAAGCTTAGTACCTTTTCGTTGTTTTGCTTTTCAATGTACTCGATCTAGTGAGCTTCAGCTGAATGGCCTGCAATGAATGCCTATACTTCTTACTAAGAGGAACGCGACAGATCGCGACATTTTTTTTGAGGTTTCTCTCAAATTCACCTATTTCAATCGGAATTAATATATATATATATATATATATATATATGGCCCTGAATTTAGAGCGTAATTTCTGACTGATGCCATGTACCCGATTTTCTACAATAAACGAAACGTGCCCTGATTTGTATTGAAATGTTTTACTACATTTTTGCTGAGCGACATTTCATATGTTATCCACTTCAGATTTCTGAAGTCAATATTAATCCATGTGATAAGAAATGTCTTACCTTGCCTTGTTAGATCACGGTCGTGAATTAACCCAGTAAATTCAAATTTTTACCGCGAGCTTATTCGGCATAATGACGTGTATAACTCGGTAGAACTAAACGAGCTATTAATGGCGACGTAATATCGCCATACGGGCATATTAGAGTTGGAGTATTATGTTTGGGAGAATCATTATTTCTATGAGGCTCACATGTTTAATATTTCCGCGGTTATTACAGTCAAATCTACCTACTACCCGTGGCTTCAGTGAACTTTCAATTTAGCTTATTTTCAATAAACAAGCTTAAGATTTATATTTTAGAATAACATAATGAAAAAAAGTGTAGCAATATTCCTATTTTAAATTACAGGAGAATGTCTCTGTCTACAACTGAAACTCGGGTCATTAGGTCTTGTACGTTGAGATCGCTTTACACACTATTTCGCAGATTCAACTATTATATGTGTATGTACATATATATATATATATATATGTGTGTGTGTGTGTAAACACAAGACAGCAAAGAGATACAAAACAAAAGCTTCAACTCATTTTACGATTCGATTATTAAAAATCATCGAAAAAAAAACCTATCTGGCATTAAATTATTCTTTTCTCAAATTATTAAATAAAATCAGTTTGATCAAAGAAAATCAGCCTGACAAATTAAAAAGCTAGTGATTAATAGTCCTGATAGTAGTCTTTTCGGCATCAGAATTAATGGGTTATATATATAAAGCATCGGGTTGACGTTCACCGGTGCAGTCCGTCACCAAATCGGCAGCACGTTTTCGAAGGGTGACGGGAACTTCGTTATACGACTACAGAAAGGGTACGCCACTGCACACTTTACTTCCATCTGCGGTGCTCGTTAGACTCTATAATAAGAGATGCCACGTGGAACTTCCCAGTTTTAAACTAATGTGGATGTATGGTTCGCCATTGCAGTTAATGAGTGATCTTAGCTAATGTTATTGCTTGGCGCAATTATTATATAGAAAATTCGCTTAATAGCAAATGTCTCTTAGAGTAAGTGAACGGTTGACGTCTAGTTGATTGTGAGCTGTTCGCTCGGCCTACTCATCGGAGGAAATGGGCGTGGGATACGTTTATACATCATAAAGTACTATATAGCTCCCCAGTGTAGGTTAGCTTCAGAGTTAGAGTCTTTATCGTCTTGGCCAGCCCTTTCCTTTAACAAATAGATCCACTTGGGAAGGGGACATGAGCATGCTTATTCAAGGGGCGCACCCACGCTGTCTTGTGCCAGACTCATTTAGCGTGGAGTAGATCGTGTAACAAAGGCAAAGTAACTAGTGGTTAAGTTCTACAACTGCTAGGCAATGGGTAGCGTGACTTCGTTGAGAACTCGTGTGCTCGTTGCAAAACAGCACGATCACTCCTACTACTGACGAACGCAACTTCGCTTGCACATAACTTTGTGTATCATAATTTACAATTGTTCTCTGGTGGTGTTCTTCAAATGACCAGCAGCTCTTCACCAAAGTGCAATTAAATGTTTGTTCTCACAGGATTGCTTTCATTACAATAAGGAAACATTTTGAGTATTGAATAGGCGTCTGATAATCAATACTAAGAGTTTCATTCATACGAAGGTCAAATAAGCATACAAGAAACATACAATAACAGCAAGAAGTGTCCGAAGTCCTGTTATCAGGCAGAGCAGCAGTGCGGTCGTCAATATGGATGGAGACCACGTACACTACGCAGATCTGATTCGAGCTCATTTTGCCGAGAATAAGAAAAAGTGGTGGTTCTACGTAAGTAGATAGAGCAAAATGGAAAATGCCTAACGGATATTGTCGTTGCTGAGGGCGCATATGCACGACCATCGTAAAAATGAGCAGCTAGCTTTTACAGCAATGATAGTGATTGCTATTTCAACAAGTGATGAGCACATAATACGACTTATCTCACTCTTAGGAGACTGAGAGGGATCCGTACCGATAGCACCTATTTATAGTGGGTGTGGGCAGTTGTGTTTGCTACGACGTTTTACGTGTGGGCATCCTTGAGCTAAATTCGATTTTCTAGCTTTTTTAGTTCTAGTAACCACCTAATAGAGGTCGCTACATTACTAACACAAATCGCTTTGACATCAAACCCTGTTACTGGCTCAATTGCTATTGTAGTATAGTTTTCAATGAGGGGAAATCTAGATTCGGTTTGCGGCGACACTTGTCGAGCCTTTCATAGTCGTTTCAGGATGGAATAAACGCTATAGCTAAATCAATGGACGAAATTATCCACTAGAACGACGCTTCGTTTTTGCGGTCAGCTTCTACGAGTGATAGAGTCCGATTTTAGTCCGAACTAAACTGACTTAAACCGGTGAAGTAGGCTGTGTTGCATAGAGAAATTAATTTTAGTTAAGGTACCTGTGTCATTTCAAATGTATGTGGCGGCCATCTTTGCAAGATATGTGTAAATAGGGCCAGCTTGTGTACTTTGTGCAGAATATTACCGTTATGCCAAAAGCTGTGTCCTATGTTTGTTTACTCACCATTGATATCAAGCTCGGTCTGACAGATGTAGATAAGAGGCACAGTGAATCAAGTCAACCGAAAAGCAAAGCATCACTACAATTTGAATCAGTGTCACAAAAATGCGGAGTGCTTTTAATTGTTCTCAATAGCATCTTTGGTCGCTGAGCCCATTTCTAGAACTAGAACCCAACAGCCAGAAATACAGCTGTCCTGAAGCATTCTTCAATAAAGTACACTTCACTGAAGCGTCATTCGACATTGAAGCTTGTCTAAAAAGATCATCGAGTAAAAACATTTTTTGCCATACATGTTACGGAAGTAGTGCGAGGTCGATCTGATGAAACCGATAACGTTCATTTGAGAATACCTGAAAAATCGACAGTGATCGATTAATTTTGGAAAGCTTGTTAGTTTGACTTCTGATTAAGTAAGTAATCGTATTATACAGATGGATCGGATTCGAAGTTATTTACAAAAACGTTGTTCATTGCATCCGTACGAACGCGTTGACTGATAAATTGTGATCACTGGTTCAACAACGTCACGGTGATGGGGCACACACACGGCAAACAAAAAAGGTTCTTAACAATAACAAACGGTGAGATTAGTACTATACTAATGGGGTAATTAGATACCTACGTCTAAGTACAACTGTGTCTGACATCTAGGGAGCGCTGAGCGTATTTTCGCATCTAGAAATTCTCTTGAATAGGGAGCAAAAAACTATGTGTCATACGTAACTCCATTTGCCCCCAGATTTCCGTCTATCGAGCAACGCAGCATTACGTAGCATTAACGTTTAATAAACATGATAGTCTCATTTCTTTCCATGCTACCAAAATAGTAAATTCTGTCGGTCTCCGCTGGCGCTTTTAACTTCTCAACAAAATATGAAATTAACAGTGAGCTCCGCCGCGTGAGTCGCTTATTGATGACTTAACGGGGGATTATATTGGGAACAATACAGACAGGCGACTGCGAGTACTAAACCGAAAACGCCTATTATTGAGTCCGGAGAATCTTGGACATTATAAGACGAAATTTGTCGATCGCCAGTGGCAGAATTCAAATTGGTATTTCTAATGCTTTACAAAGAAAAATCTGATGCCGCCTTACGAATCTAGACATTGTAACATCGGCCTACTGGCTTTAGCGAGGTTTATTCGAGGAGTTCCCTTTTACGTGGCGCGCGGTAATATGTTCCAGGCAGACTCCTTATTTCTAAAACGCTTGCGAGACAAACAGTGAGTTTTTTTTTTTAACATATGAAAAAAAACACTTTTGTAGTATTGAACCATTTTAGATAAATGCTATCTATGAAGTCATCTGTCACTGTAATTTTTTTCGCAGTCATCTGTGGGCAGCCTTTATGGAACACTGACGCCTTTCGATCCAAACAGTATCTGCTCTTTTCTATCCTGCATCCTTGAGACTACCATATGAGGTTAGAGCAAAGGGGTTTTTGATTTTTTTTAAAAGAATATTCCCTCCCACGTATTGTTGACGCAATTTTGAAAAATATTTGACATTACTTTACACATGCTAGCCACGATCACAATATGCTTTGGTAAGAAGTGGTTCGTATCAGATTAGAATGTTGCTTACACAAGCAGCTGAAGTCGAGAGTCGTTGCGCTTTATTGATGAAGTGTAATGTTATGTTTAGATAGAATATAGATAGGACAAATAGGAAAATAAATTTCTACAAATATAGGCCGAAATTACGCATGTCTTAGAAATCAATCTTGAAATTGCTATAGCTTCTGTTGGTTAACCAAAGTCAGGCATACGGCTAATGACAACCGGCTGCATGGATGAATAAGTGAACCTTGAAGTACATAAGCAGTTTCCAACCGGCTTTTTTATAAAACGTATGTGTTATTTTATAGGTAAAAACCTAAAAAAAAAACATAAAAAAAGACGTTTATCATGAATGTGAATGAACGATTAGGAAGCAAGTTACATTGCACTTAATACGACAAATCAGTCGTAAAGATAAATCAATCTTTTGTTCAGCGTAAAAAAGGCTGTAATGATATGTGGAACTAAGCATGGAATCGTTTACAGTGTAGCAGGTATCCCTCCACAGTTAATCAACGTTTGTGTACGTGCAAATATCGTATCGCGTGCCCCTGGTTGGTATGAATATCGGCCGTCGATCAGGGGGGTAAAAGTATATAGAAAAAAAACTTCCGATTCGATGTGTATGATTAAATACGGGAAATGTTTCACGAATTAGTAATATTACATTGTAACAACGTTACAAATATATACATACACGACTAGTTTTTATTTATAATCACTGTGAGCGTGTATACGAAAATAAAAAAACAGCAAAAATTTTGATTCCTAGTGCAATCGCAGATAGCTTAGAGCAGGCCATCACAAACGCAATGGAAAATATCATAAAACATTATTGTAAACATCAAATAATAGCCTGGTATGGGATTGTGTTGCAACTCTAAATAGACCTAACTTGGTTTCTGCGTTAATTTGTAATTTAATTAAGCGTTAATTATGAACTTTTTCATCATTTGAGACCATTACATACATTTCCCGCGCTTGACATAAATGAATATACGTGTATCTAAATAATTTCTAAAAAATTCACTAAGCTATTGGGTTGTGTTCGTATTTCACTAAACTTAAATTACGTGGAACTACGTTGCATACTTATCTTTTATATACGCAGAAGATCAGTTGTTGCTGCATTATGTGACGTGAATATAATACTCTGCTCCCTCGTACTAAAATCTAAATACCTAAATAAAAAGTGTAGAAATTTGAAAAAAAAAGCAATTTCCTTAACTAGAAGTAGTTTCCTAACTAGAAGAAGGAGCTCTGAAGTACCCAAATGAAGGTTATCGCCTATTAATGATTGTTGCTCATAATCGTGTGTCATGCCCACTTTTTGCCTTCCCCAGGCGCGGGCCTTCGATAGATCCTCGTAAGCGAGGAGGTGCGTACACAATCGACAAGAGGGAAGATTGGGCCGGTTACTATGAGAAGGGACCCATTTTTAAGGTAAAAAACCCGGGAAGCTATAGAGCTTCTTTTGCCTCACTCTGCATAGTAGCGCGCTTGTGTACTTCGTAGTAACCAGTACTTCTGCTATTAAGTTTTTGATGATTACTCAAAGGTTCAGTCATCTGTTCATGTTGTTTTTTTTATTTTTGGGTATATTCGCCTTTTTTTGTTAGCGTTAGCTCGCCTCAGATACTAATTTCAATATCAGCTGACGCACGGGACCGAAACGATGACAGCTCACGTGATTTAACGGTTACTAACACTTGCAGTATTCAAAATGCACGATTTTTATTGCTTCAACCATACAGTTGGATCGGTTTAAAAGTATCGTTTAACCAGTGACCTAACGTCTAGTATATTGCCTTTGCGTCTCTTTTAAAAATTCTGGGCTTCTGAGAAATAGTGTGCAGTGTCAGGCTAGATTCGTCGTCTATCAAAATGAGACCAATCTCATTATTAGAAACTAATCTCTGCGTACATAATGTGTTGAGCCGTTATATTCTGTCTGCTAGCTTCGACAAAGGGCTACAGTTAGGCGCGCATCCATTTCTGCTTGTGCATTGTCTTTCGTTCCCGTTGGAAACGAGCTAACAAAAACGAAAAGAATTTCCTCGATAGAATTCGTTCCGCTTTCACTTAAATGTCCATAGTTACACTAATAAACGTAGGAATAAACCGTAGATAAGTGTGTGTGTTTTCTTTTTTTTTTTTTATAAAGCAGTTTATTGATTTAGAAAACTATCAGTATTCGTCAAGGATGAGAAAAGCTAAGTCACGTGCAATTAACTAAATCATCATAAAAGTTTTCAAAAAAAGGCGCAAAATAAACATTTTGAATTTACATACTTTTATTAACGTTGATCGTTTACAGAGGAAGTGGATTGACTAGCAAAATCTAGTAAGAACTCGAGATTTTAGTATTTTCTAATCGTTTAAAGATAGTTTCAATAGAAACCGAACGTTTCAGATGCCATGTTTAGGCATGATAAATTGTGGCGTGTGAACCAGTCTAATAACTAACCTTCTTACGAATAACGCAACCTGGTTTCTTTCAGTAGGCTTAGGTACGTTTTAAGCGAACGCCTTTCATACAATATTTTGATGTGTTTATGCGCGAACTGTTTACAGCTTGGCGAGCGCGGCTCCGGCCTACGGACTCGATCGGGTAAAATACAAACTTTTAGCGAAATCCAGCAACAATGTAAGGAGTCCGGTGAACTATTTGACGATCCGGAGTTTCCTTGTACAAATGAGTCCGTGTTCGGCTGCTCCGAACCGAAGCACCGCGTCCGATGGCTACGTCCCTCGGTAAAGACCAGAAATGCTCTCTCTGAAGTAAACTGTATTCGTTAAATGTAAAACATCATAGAAAATGTTCCTTAGATAACCATCTGGCGAGCATTTGCAGACAGGTTCGCTCACAACAAGTTACTGCTTGTCCGTCAACTTTTAGGAGATCGCCAGCAGTCCGTGTCTATTTGTTGACGGAGCGTCACGCTTTGACGTCGTCCAAGGCAGTGTCGGTATGTTAGTTCTACCTCTATATCCAAACAAACATTTTTAGCAATGCTAAATTTAACTAGTCAAAACAATTTAGAAATTTCCCTCCGGGTTTATAGCAAACAGTCTGAAAAATACTATACATCAAACGAAATTTTACGACAAAAATGTCGCCGTATGAGATGTATACATGTGTAGGTGTATAGTCGTATCGTTTTGGTCTTTAAGTTAACTCTAAGCCACGAGAGATTAGCGAGAAGAATCAAAACTCGGCCGACCCGATTGCTCTAATTATTAGGTTGGCCCACCATTCGTACTGGTGAAAGGCCGTCATTCAACTGTTGAATTCCATATATTGTGCAACGGGGAATTCGCGTTACTGGAGCTACGCAGCACTTACTACTAAAAATATTCCTATTATGAAAGACTCATGACCCCCGAAAATCATATAAAAGCTGGCGCTGCTTGCCTTTGTGTGTAGAATTAATTAGGCTGTGGTCGTAATGCGGCCGGTTGTCTATACGGCGTTACCGCAAAAGCAGTACTCGGCTTGTATTTCTTGTAAGAAATAGCTTGAGTCATCTCCTTGGAGTCTGCCGAAGTATATTTAGAGCCTCAAATACTGTACGGCATTATGCTTAGCATCGATGATCCATTTAAAAGCGTACCCGACCTGGGTTGCGTTGATAAATATTAAAAAATATTATCTTGATATAATTCAGGCAGTGAATTGGTTCCACAATTTAGGATGAGTCATCCCCGGCCAGACAGCGATGGAAAGCTCTTTGAGGGCTACAAAAAGGATTGGCCGTTTTTCATGCCGATGTGCCGACGGGCGTGGTGACAGTACATCCACAACGGAAACACCAATTCTCTTTTCATAAGTTTCTTCTTTTGGGCCTTTTTTTTGTTGCACACGTTCCTATAGCGAAACTACCTTTTGATTTACCTGACGTGACAAAAAACCTGCGTGGTTAGACTAATATATTTTGTAAGATGCCTTAGGTGAAAGTGGCTCAGTACTTACCATATATTGTTAAAGCGCCAGTTAAGTTGGCGCAAAGTGGAACTATATTGTAACATGTACCTAGCTCATCTTTCAGTTTTCCTTTTCTTCTCTCCAATAGAAATTTGATATAATTCTGGACTCAGACATATTTCCAGGAGCCGTACATCCTTTCTCGGGGTCCCGTCGATCCGAGGACCTAGTTTTTGTGTAACAACCTATTATTGTGGCTGTGTGTTGAATGATGTCGAGCTACGAGATACCCAGAAGTTGCGTTTTGTTATGACGTTTTCTGAGTTTACGGGGTACCCAAGCTTCCAGTTTTTAGTAAATCCTGGAGATTGAAAATACCTGCTGATATTCATAAAGCTGCAGTAGACCGATCCATTTACTTTGCAATTGTGTTTAGACAGCCGATATTGAGCATGGATGGCCGACTAAGACAGGATGTGCCCTTTAATTCCATGATGACATTGATGAGCTTTGAAAGCCACTTTGAGCAAACTTGGACCCCATTTCGTGTGTGGCATGAATGTCCTGGGAGGCCTCGACAGTTTTTTTGGCCTACACAAAAGACGAAATGATACACTTGTCCTAGTGAAATCCTAACCGGCTGGTAGAAGCGCAAGAGCTCCTTTAAACGATATACAGAAGTGAAGAAGATCAGAGAAAAAGAAGGCATTTAGTAGATTATTAACTATGTTCCACTTTACTAGTAGTATAAAGTGGTAAACAAAATTACACTGCCAACTTTTAGGCGTTTGCATTCTGCAGTAAACTCATTAAAATTAAAGGATTTCCTCGATCTGATCTTAAAAAAATCCGCTAATCTAGCATGCCTTGTGCTGAATCAAATAATAAAATGGTTTTATACTTCCTTTTCAACAGGAAACTGCTGGATGGTGGCCGCTCTGGCCAATTTAACCTTGAACGATGAGCTTTTTAATCGAGTTGTTCCACAGGACCAGAACTTCGACAATGAATACACTGGTCAGTGTCAAACTTAACCTTAAAGTGTGTGAACTCAATGACTGGCTTATTTTTACACCTTCGTATGTGTCTATTGAGCGCTTATATGTAATTTGTTTATTCGAAGTATATTTTGCTTACTATTTAGTCATCTTTTAGAACTTTTGGGCTAAAAGTTACGTGGGTCAATGGCAAAAACGTTCAAATGACAACTACTATATCTTAATTTAAAAGTTCTCAGAAATCAAATAAATTACATAGCTTTTATCGATGAAAATATGATGTATGTTTGAAGAGGCGTTGTTGTTTAGTTCTATTGGACGAATTGTGACACAATATATGTTTTGGATTTAGGCGCGTTCCATTTTCGGGTCTGGAAAGCCAATCGTTGGATCGATGTTTGTGTCGACGACAGACTTCCTACCCGTAACGGGGAACTTCTTTACATGAAGAGCCGCAGCGGTAACGAGTTCTGGAGTGCACTGCTAGAGAAGGCATATGCCAAAATACATGGAAGCTACGAAGCACTTTCGGGGGGATCGGCGTGCGAGGCCATGGAGGATTTCACTGGTAAGTGTTTTTTTGTATATTGAATATTGTAATATGTATTTAACCTGTATTTATTTTTCTGCGTATGGAGAACAAATGAGTTGCAGTGGTAGCTCATATTCATGGTCTCACAGCCTTTAGATTTCTAATTATAAGCAATTACATATTCAAATTTGTGCTCTTATACAGTACAATGCTCTTTATATGGCTGCGGACAACTAGACTAATCCTAATAACAGCTAAGTTGTTGTTATGGAATGGAGCAGCATGTGTGGGTAATAGTTGCAAGATGGCGATAACTTACTTGGCTCAAGCGTCAAGGCAGAAAGGCCGATATCTATAAGTGGCGTTCGTTAAACGATAGTGTGCTCTAATGGTAAAACATTAAATATTGTTGAATACTGTCTTTTTTCTGTCACGCGTGGGGTAATTTTCAAATTGCGAATGTTAGTTTGTGTAGGATGATTCACCGGTCAACGCCGTACATACGCCTGCATTTTAGATTTGAAGACGATGTTCTTCATGAGCTTTTGTGATGATCGAAGTAATTTATCACTTCATACTGAATTCTTACTTCCAGCCATTTTTTTTTACATATAATTATGGTTTGCTAATGAGATAGGTGATGTGCTACTCAGCTTCATCTGATCAAGGAACCTTATGTCTTCAAAAGGTTTAAGTGCAACTAGATAGCAAAACAGGCTTATGTATAACTTTATCTAGACGGGGAAGTTTTGAACTCAAATTTAGTTTCGCATATTATTGTTACTTGTAGCAGAATCTACCTTACACAATCACGTCAGTTAACTTTAATAATGGGTAAAGGGTGAAACTTACTTTAATTGAATGGGTCGAAATTGATGTTTTTACTTATTTCGGTGTCTATTAACTGTAATAGTTACACGATCCACACTGGGATTTTTGGCTGAATAGCTTTGTTTCTATATCAAGTCGGTCAAATTCAACGACGCATAACGATTGTGCTACCGGAAAAACTGATCTCAAAGTTAATAATTATATGTGGTTATTTTTTAGAGACCTTCTTTGCCAAAGTCGATAGAATGTACACGACTAGATAGATCTCATCACAAAAAGCCCAACTACAGCTATGCAAACTCCCAGTAAACCCAATTCATTGGTGTGCAACGCATGGCGTACAATGTTCCCGCTAGTGAAAAAAGGATTTTTTAGTATTTTGTTAGAACGTTAGATATGGTAGATTGTTGAAATTGAAAACAAATATGGACGAGGAAACCAGTGTTTTTCCCTTTATGTTATAGGTGGCATTACGGAACAGTACGATGTTCGCCAAGCACCTCACAATCTGTATATGATTATGCTGAAGGCTTACGAACGAAATGCTTTGATGTCGTGTTCCATCACGCCTGGAGAAAGACTTGAGGAGCGTTTAAGTAACGGGCTTGTCGCGGGACACGCGTATTCGATCACTTCCGTGAAACTCGTCTTCATCGAACGTCTTAAGGGTAATTATTTGGTACTTTGTTTCTCGGTATTTTGTGAACATTCCTCCTCCTGGAGATCTTAAAAGAGTTTCCCCTTCGATCTCATACTATTCTCTGGCTCGACTTGTGCTTTAGTCATCGATTTAACACGATATATACCTTTATTTCTAGGTAAAATGCCTTTAATTCGAATTCGCAATCCCTGGGGCGAGCACGAATGGAGGGGAGCATGGGCCGACGGCTCAAAGGAGTGGTCGCTTGTTGACGAAGAGGAACGAGAGCGTGTTGGCCTCAAATTCGACGCCGATGGGGAATTCTGGCGAGTTTAATATAACAACATTATATTCACTAACAGTGATATATGAGTTTTAATAAAATTATCTTCCTGATTCTTATATTACAGTTTAATTGTTAATTTCTCTTGTGATTTCCAACCGTATTTTAGGCTTTCATAGTCTCTAAAAAATTACTTCCATAGCAGTTCTAAACGGGACGACGAAATTCCTAGGCTATGCAACATTCCATGTTAGTACCTGCCATTGTATCACGATAGGTGTGTTCGACACCTAGATCGACGAGACACGAGAGATCCAGCGGCGAAGATCAGATATTTACAAAAATAAGTAACATATTTATATAATAAGCTAGTGTTCACGTGTAGCCTTTGTTTTCTCCATATATGCCAAAACTGGTGTAAAATTGCGATTCCAGTTTAGAATGGAATTATTAATTTTAGAAAAATTATTGCCATTTTATTATAGGATGTCCATGAAAGATTTCGAGCGTAACTTCCACTATTTGGAGTTATGCAATTTAGGCCCCGATGCTCTCACTGAAGAAATGCTGACGGACTCCTCTACCAAAAAATGGGAGGTAGCTGTCTATGAAGGGTCCTGGGTTGCAGGAGCCACTGCGGGAGGATGCCGCAATTACCTTGGTAAGGCTTCACATTCCATTTCCTTGTACGTTTAATTCCGAATTAAAATGTGTGGATGAAGCGTGGCCTCTAGATTCTCCAGGAATGAAGTTGTCCTTATCATATCCCATATAAATTGACTGGGTTTGTTTCACATTTGTTTTTTGTACACCGTATTTACCAAAAAAAAAAGAAACTAGTTTCCGTGCCTACTTTTTCAATGATTTCAATGATTACCTGCATGTACGGTTAGAGTTAATGTCATGCATCAATGAAACAACCGATGGCTATCTATCAATTATCAAAAGCCAAAAAATACCCATACATGCTCCCCCCTCTGCTTCCTTCATTGAATTGCCACTATGAGCAATGAACTGCGTACACAGCAAATTTATAGGCGCACAACTAACAGAAATATTTGATCGCTTTTCAGAGACCCATTGGGTAAATCCCCAATATTTTATTACATTAATGGATCCTGATGAAGACGATGACGATGAAAAGTGTACAATGATCGTAGCTCTGATGCAGAAAAATCGGCGTGCAATGAGGACACTAGGAGGAGGTCTTTTTCTGACTATAGGATTCGCCATATATAGGGTAACACAATTATCCTTAGAAAATCCAGATGTGAAAAAATAATTAGCAGATTAATGCATTAATCTGGACTGTACTATAAAATATGATGTATATCCTATTGCAATTTATATGTTACTGTTGTTAGGTGAGCGATCCGGAAAACGTTGACAAGCCCCTCAGTTTGAATTTTTTCAAGATGACGCCATCAGCAGCGCGATCGCACACATTTATTAACTCGCGTGAGGTTACAACACGATTCAAGCTGTCGGTCGGAACTTACTGTATTGTGCCTTCAACTTTTGAACCTAATCAGACTGGAGATTTTCTGCTAAGAGTGTTCACTGAGAAGAAGGTAGGATCGGCAATGTTTTCTTTTTTAACTTCCTAGCCTAGACGACTCAACTGAAAATATAATCCGTAGAATATTTTCCTATTTTATTGGGCAGATCTTCTCCTTTTTCTACTCGCTTCTAAATCGCCGTACGATTTGTTCGGTTGTTCTGTAAAAAACAAAAACAATACGGACATGTTGTTCTTTTCTGTCGGTTGTAGAACACATTGACGGAGCACGATAGCAAGCCTGCGATTAGCGCTCCTGAACCGGAAGTAGCAGCACCAGAAGAAGATCCGGACTCGGAAAAGGCGCGCCACTTGCAGGCACTGTTTGCCAAGATAGCAGGAGACGACCTCGAGGTTAACTGCTACGAACTGCAGAAGATCCTCACCGTCGTCTTTCAAAAAGGTCTGCCAACAACAATGAGTCATTCTCCGTATAGGATAGCATTTTCCTTATAGCTTAATTCGTATTGTCACGGTACTTAGTGGTTCTTCTACTCGATTTATCATACCCCTAGAATGCGACATTTATCTTATTTATGTGGCGTTCGAGTAAATTTCAGATTGAGGCGCTTCTCAAAAGATTATCGTTAATGCCACAACCTACATTGAGTTTTTTTCGCTATAAACTCTTATCGTCCAATAGGAAAAGTATATAGAGTACTCGCCAGTAGGGGTTAAACGCAAGGACATAACTTTTTTTTTTGCAATCGCTTTCATATGATTATTGGTTCTTGCGTTGGCCTATTTTGTTATTATCATACATACATAATATTAATGTAGATTGAGCTTAGCATTAACGTAAAATTAATTGAATTTCTTGATTCTTACAAGTGCGCGCGTCCGTCTACTCTTTTTAGCCAAGTGAGAGTGAAGGTCTCCGTAACAGTATCTCACCCAACATATACATTGTTTGTAGACAGAATCAAATATATGTTTAGCAGATTCGAAGTCGAGTTATGCTGGCGACAATGCTGGTTTGTATGAAGCGGACATGGCCTAGGGCTTCATTGATGTCATCTGTGTTATGAACTGTTGAATAAGTTCAAATTGGAGGATCTGGAAAACTCACAAAATATGTGCTTATATGCGTGTTGTATTGAAAATAGCTTTTGGAGGCAAAACGACGACTGAGATAAAAAATATAATTTTTCTGTTTAAGAGGTTATAATAAGCAGCTTATAGTGGTCACGATTATAAATCAAATTACTCATGTTAGTCGCATATAAGAAAAATATTAGGTTAAATACTATATTATTATGCTAGTAGTTATCAAAAATTTAATCGTCTACAACTTACTTACTTGAAGGTACATGTTACACAGATCGAGCATCCTTATACTGCAGTTTGATGCGCCTGTTTTTAGGCGAAACGTGAAGGGCTAACTAATGTCTGAAGCCTGTAATTGTAGAACGTTGAAAAAAGACCCTGCTGGATCATTTCAGTATTATAGCCTTAACATGGAGCTATCGCCTAATCTCTAAGTTCAGAGTATAATTAGAGTGTATAACATATGGCAATGCCTATCGAAAAAGAACGACGGAACGTACGTTGAGAACGCGTACACACACGTACCTTGCGCGTTTGAATATTATTTACTATGAATAAACAGCATTACTATCTAAAGAACAGTCTAAAAACGACATAAAATGTAATGAAAGGGAATCTGTTTGTTCAATTTCATCGTTTCTTTTCCGCATGATACCTACCTTCAAACCTGATGATGCTTGGCTATTTCAGATTTCCCCAATCGAGACGAGGCCGGACCATTCAGCGGTAATAAGAACATCATTACATGAGAACTAGTGATACTGAGAGTTAGCTTATTTCAATGAATCTTTATAGCCGCCAGAGACGCTTGTTTATAGTAATAACTTCAGCAATTAACTATACTTATTCACGCTGAGCTCACGAACGACCCGTAGATTAGCACCGACTAGTCATTGTTTCTACCATTACACGCACTAAGGCTGTTTCCGGCTCTGTTTAATAAGAAACTACTGTAGTTGGCTGCATTGATTACCATAGCATAATCTAAGGATTGGCGCGCCCTGTATCAAGTAATATCTGAGCATGTCATTTCTTTAGTGTCGAAGCTTTGAGTGTTGAAACGGTCCTGGAAAACGTACCCTGGAATGGGCCTTAGCTTCTATTTCAGCCACTGAAAGATCTGCCTTTAACGCCAGTCTTATCTTTGTGTGCGAACATCGATACTCTTTTTCAAAACGAGAAATACTCCCAAATTCTTATGTTAAACTACGAATGAAGCCTATAGTTACTCGTTTGACCATTATCGATGCCACTAATATGCTGCTGCTCTTTTGAGACATTACACTTTCCGCCATCTTTAAAGGGCAAAGTCACTGCAGCTTGCAAGAACCTGTAAGTCGCATACTCTACCACTGTTTTTAGCGTCATTTTGCCCCTGCCAACCTAGCTGACCAAATTATATTTAAAACATCCTGTGATATAAGATAAAGCCGACCTTCTTCTTTCTCCCCTCCAATATCCAAGTATGGTTTGAATTGAGATCGTCATTACTTCGTAGCTGATTGTTTATTGAACAGTTACTGCATGTGATGTATTTACTAACTGCTGCTGGAACAAATCATAGACCATATAAGGTTATAGCGGTAGATTATGTCCTGAAATGACACACTGCCACCAAGCTACTCGTGTAAGTTGCATGTTGTTGTATGTACTGGAATAGCGTTGACATGTAAGAAGTATTTATCCTTAATGACGATTTGCAGAGCTTCAAGGCAATAAGTTCTCGCTGGATGTGTGCCGCAGTATGATATCGCTGATGGATTCTAACCATTCAGGGAAACTCGGACTTGAAGATTTTCGCGCCCTATGGATCATGATCCGCACATGGAGGGTGAGTTATCGTTGTTTTTTTTGTCTAGTTGATAGGACTAAACTGCTATCCGAAAGACGGATTAATTTGTCTACATTAACGATCGGTTTTTCGATTACTATTAGAATACATTTAAGCTGTATGATACGGACGAGGATGGTGCTCTCGACACCATGGAGCTCCGACAAGCACTTCATTCAGCCGGCTATACGATCAACAACCATATTCTCTCGTTCCTTGTACTACGTTATGGACACGATGGCTTTATCAACTTCGACGATTTCATCGGATGCGCCGTCAAGTTACGCTGCATGATCGGTATACACACTAGGAGCCTTCAAAAATATTAATTAAGAATATTATGTAACATTATGCTACTACAACACTGCTGTACTATTTAATTTTAGCTTGTCACACATCGTAAAAATCTTTACATCACCGTGAGCTTTGTACGCGCTACTGAATCTAGTAAATTTAAAACAAGTTCATCTACCACGATAATTCTTGCTGCGCTTGAAAATAGCTCCCGAACGTAAAAGTCTCTGTCTCAAGGATTAAAAAAAAAAAATGATTCGAGAGGCAACTTCTTTTGGTTATTTAGCTTGTTAAGTGTTTAAGTTAGAATTTGGCCAAGTTGTGATACGACTATAGGATAGTACATGGCTAGAGCACGGAGTTGCGTATCACTATAAAGCAAATTTTCGGCGATCATGGCAGAATGGCTCCCAAGCTTTTAGGAGGAACCAAGGTTCGAGCGGTACGTGCCCTAAGAAATAGAGCTTTTCGTTAACGGAGATTGTATCCGAAGTTACAGAATCCTCTTACACGGGTGAAGATCGGTTAACAGTACTTTTGAAAAAAAACGTCTATCCGTCGTTTCTGCTTATTGCTAATAGTACGAAGAGCTTCTAATGCGATATTCTAATTCTTCGTCTGGATCACTTCCATAGTGTTCTGGTGTGTGAAGGGCTAGTACCGTAAGCCTGCTATGGATTTATTCTAATACTGTTTTATTACAGTGTAGTTTTTGCACTATGAAACATAATCGTTACGGTTTATTTCTCTCTTTTATTTTCTGCTACAGAAATCTTCAGAGAGAAAGACGTTCGCCGAATGGGTTCGGCGGTATTCACCATTGACGATGTAAGCTCTTTCCGTACCAGTCTACAACAGCTCTTTTTTTGTTTTTTTTAATACTAAATTAAGAGAATTTAGTTGTTTTTGAGCATGTGATAATTGGTAAAAAGCTTAGCGAGATGGAACATCTGAGCAGTGTGTGTCGTTGATGAGACTCTGAGAAATAGGTGCATCAGTTGTAGCGGAGCCTTCAAACGATCTCGTCCGCATTAGCAGCATACGTTATCGATTAAATAATAAATTAAATAGTAGTTTGACAATTACCCATCATATACTAATTTCAGTGGCTGCAAAGAACGATGTATTGCTGAATCGTGAGCTCCGGGCCGTGGATCTTTTTCATTCTTCATCGAAACAAATCTACAGAGGATATTATAAGAGAACATATAAATATCGCCAATAAATCGGATTTACTAGATTTCTTCAGCTCGAATCCAATATTTACCACTGCGCTTTTATTAAATCTGCTCGTGAAGACTACTATTTCCTATAGACAAGTGTACGCGCTGTTTCTAGAGGGAGAGAAACTAGGCAACATTGTTCGAACGACATTGGTTGTGAGCCTCTGGTATTCCCAATCCAATTTAATATTGGAACATGGAAGCATTTGAATGCAGTGTACTGACTATGGTGCCCGTAGCGTCAGATTTATACTTTACCAAGGGTCTGATTGGCCACCTGGTAACAAAACAGCCCGGCACCATTGCCGCTAACATTGGTTTTCAAACGTTTTTTTTTTTTTAGCAGCGACTTAATTGAAAGTAGAATCTTCTTTTCGATACGACCGACGATTCTTTTTTCCTAAAACCTTAGTATATTAAATATTAATGAATTGTATTCCTTTTCACCTATTTATTCCTACGAGCGCCATTTTTCTTTATACGAAAAGCCAGTATTCCGAGAAGTTTCAAGCTAGACAGCCTTCAACCAAATGTGTCGAAAAGCGCGACCTTAGTTGTCATTGGACACGCGAGTCCACTGGATTTATAAAAAATTCTGATAGGGCTTAATTCAGATAACCGCAGCAGCTGATTATTAGCTTAAAACTACTACTGAGAAGATAATGAAAACAGCCTGAGCGATATTTTGCAAGCAAATCACGAGGTGCTTCTTAAACGCGTCTTATATACTGACTATCTTCCATTCCCATAAATATCATTTTCTTTTTGGCCTGTGAAAACGACTACTTGTCTTGAGCAACACGGTAAACGCTTGGTGTGAGAGATCGACAATGCTAAACTATGTGCCTAAAGTATGCCGATTTAAATATGTAGCAACTAACGCTGCTATCGAGATAATCATTATCAGCGTAACGTATAATATATCTGCTGTATTGCCAATACATATATATATATATATATATATATAAAAGCTAAAGGCAAGCGTTCAGCTAGAACAAATCTATTTGTTGTCAGCATATATTTGCAGAAAAATAACAATAAAAAAAAAGAACAAACAACATCGATGTGTTTATCAGTACGTATGTTTATTTATAGGGTTCGTCAACAAGGAACGCTAACAAAGCCCCTTAGGGCTCGTTTTTGTAGGGTGACCACCACTCAACTAAGCTCTAACTATCAAACATTCAGATTGCTTGCATGGTCAAAGAAAGGCCTCTATACGTGTGTCACTTTGCTGAAATTGTAGCCAAATTGGGGCTGGTTGTTTCACGAAGGGTCTGGCGGTCTGAACTTCGTGTTTCTATGTTTAATGAGTGAACTTCGAAGACTCTATCACTTATCCATAGTATTGGTTTTTGTGTGAGGTTCATTATAATTATAATGAGCGAAACATCTCGAAATGGTTTAGCTGGCTATGAATGAAAATAATATATCAAAATAATCTCTTCCTTTACTTTGCCGATGCAATCGGATCTACTCTGTAGAAGATTGAGTTCAATAGTTCTATGTATCGGAATTGTAATTAGCTGAACTTCGCTTTGTGTCCCATAATTGACGTCACTAGTCCGATGACTCGCCCCTCTAGGATTTTGTTCTTTGAGCCAGTTTGCCCCTTTTCATGTTGGAATGTGTTCATAATTCTGACATACTACTACTACACCTATGTTATTATCGTGTTTAAATACTAACGAATGTGTGTTGCATTCTGTTTCGTCTCAGATTTGTTATATTAATTAAGTTAATCTATTTGCTTAATGTGTTACGCTATTATCATGGTGAAGTAACTTTATCGATCTGTTTCAGTTGCTAGTTACGTAAATTTAAATTCGAGCTCGACCTCGCATCGCTAATGCCGTAATCGATAAAATTGTCATCATGCTATTGTTTGTTTATCTCGCAAAGCTCGCTTTGAAACGATCCTATAATAGTTCCGATACGGTCTCGTTTTCCTGTTCGTTTTTAGTGTCTCAGGGAATATTTTGTCTCGGACGCTCAATAGCTCTGGTGTTAGATGTGTCAATGTTCGTTGATCTTAAACATCCATAGATTTGACGCTTTTTCAATTTATTTCGTCTGCCATTTCAAACTGCCTGACCCGATATCTAAATATTAAAATAAGTCAAATATAGCCAGTCGAGCTGCTGAGCAGCCTAACTAAAGCAAGTTACAATGATGTTTTGTAAGATAAATGTGGATGCCGAGATCCTGTGTCCGACGCCACCATTGTGTCTGTGCACAAATATCGCATATTACCGGTTCACTGTAGATAGAAGATGCATGCAGGTGGGTAGATAGTCGCTGGCATTACTAGACCACATTCTACTATATCTCTATCTGTCGTTTAACCACTCCTTCCTGGTGGTGTTCAGAGGCAGCTGTTCTGATTTCCCATGTCGTCACAACATTGTCTTTAGCGTTCGACAAAAACGCGACAGCAGACATCACGTTTGCCATCGCTTAGCCATCAGTCGGTAGACACAAGAGATTTCTTTCAAACATTGTCGACTTCATTGATTACTGTTCCATACGAGTGCTTTTAGCGATTTGAAGAAGACGATTACGGTGTTTGCGACAAAATAGCGAACGGCCTTTCCATTTAACCGGTTTTAAAGAGTGTGGTACGTTCAAAATTCAGGTAAAGATAATGCCCGCGTCTAATCGGTAAGCAACTCAATGTCAACGTTTTATAATTGATCATCAATTGTATTAAAACCAATGAATCAGCGGTTGCATCATGGCAATTGTCGATATTATTTCGACATCGATATGAAGTAAACTATCATGAAGTTAGGCTAAAAATTTCCCCCAGCCATCAGTCCATCATTAAGGTTTGGCCTCCCGCTAATCTGCCGTCGATTCTAAACAATGCAAGATACCTGAGAAGATACACACATCTTCATTGGTCACCTGCAGTTCGTTTAGAATAGAAAATAGACAGTTTTTTCGGCAGTTTCAAATTATTTCAAGGAAGCAAGCTGAAACCATGGATTCTGAAGGCAAAAGAGATGAAATTAGGTCATCGCACGTCCTGTATTTAGGATGAAATTCCATGGATGACAACGAAGCGTATATTAGAGCGGCCTCTTAGTAGATCAATAAGCTCGTACGGCGGTTGGAGAGGTCTCAGTGTAATTTGATTTAACACACATTTCAAGGAACTGCAAGAAAGTCTACAGAGCTAAGCACAGGCACAAGCGCTGGTCATTCACAACATTGTTGGCTATTGTGTCATAGCTAATATATTTAAAAGATCAGTGATTAACAAATTGTGCAGAGTTTCGAAGTTAACAGTCGGAATCGGTTATACTTCTACCTATACAACAGTTATCGGTTCATATGATTTAATAGATGTTTTCTGCCAGAGAAAGTACCACTATAAAAAAAAATAGTAATTTAGTTCTGCTAGTATCTTGAGTAACAATCCAAGTAAATTTTACTTTCGTTGGCTATGTTTCCACGAAACGAAGCGTGCGCCCGACAACGGGCTAGCGAATAAAACAAAAAAGCGGAAAAAATAAAGAACACTAAACTTCTATGCGTTAATATAATGTAGTCATCGCAGAAAAATGCATCTGCTACACGAAAGTAAAACCCATGTTTATGTTCTGCCCAATCCGAAGGCGCTACAGGCGGATCGACGCTCTTCGCAACTCGGATGGGCCAAGTAAATTTTATCTTATCCTTGTCGGTACTGAATAATGCTAGCCGTAGGGCTATTCACCGCCCGCTTATCAAGACCTATCTCCGGTGCAAATTTCTTTTCAGCTTCTTTAACTTATTCCAGACGACGCAACCAACGAATGAGTAGAAAGGGTCCAATCCGTTAAAGTCCTTTCCCCACTCACCCGCTTTCTTGTCGTTGTCGTCGCCGTCATCGTCATCGTCATCATGATCATCGGCGGCGGCGGCGGCGGCGGCAGCAGCAGCAGCAGCAGCAGCATCATTGCCACTATCACCATTTACTCTTAAGTTGTTGAGAACTTCCCTCGCCCATTGTGGTCAACGCAAATGGTCGCGTGAGGCCTTCTGTTATTTGTCCGATAGTTGCTGAAGTGTGGTGTTGATACGTCAATGAAGCCGACGAAGAGCGCCGCTCGGACAAAAGAGAAGAGCGCGCTAAAATCGATCGATCGATGAGAAAAATTAACCAGTTGTCAGGCGTTGCACAACCACGTAAATGATTTGAATAGAGGCTTGCGTGAAAAAAAAAAGTCAGTGATCTGTTTCTACGACAATATCAGCGTAAAAAGTGCATATTTATGCCTTAGATATATGAGGATAACGTTTATGAACGTCTAAAGTACAACTGGAAGTGCAACGCGTAGTTTTTGTTTTTCTCAAAAGGTAAGTGGAATGAAGGACTGATAAACAACAAGCTATAAATAAGCGTCACGTTAAGTACCAATTTGTAGAAATCAGTAGATAGATCATGCTAACAGTCAAGTGTCGGAGTGATCGGGTCAGCTCTGATCAAAGGCCTTCAGCTATTTCGAGCTCATGAGAAGTAGCTCGGGTTTGGATATTCCAGTTTTGACAGGTATGCTCGGACGGCGTAAATTTTCCTTTGGAAACAGCGTAAGATAACGGACACTCCATCGCTATCAATGCGATGATCAATTTTATTCGAAAAGCAAGCTATAACTCAAGCGTGTAGCGTAAGGTGCAAAATTAGAAAGTTAGCCCACTTACCGCGCTAGCCAACGCTAAAGTTATGCTCCACTAAGAAAAACAGCGTCTTGCTTCGGTGATGCTCTTACAAAAACTATATATAATTCGAGTGAAAGTAAAAAAGAGGAAACTAATAACATATAAAACACAAAAACTAAATATAATTCGAGTGAAAGTAAAAAAGAGGAAACTAATAACATATAAAACACAAAAACTAAATTTGTACACATTTTTTTAGTCGGTATGTCCGGCCTAATAGAATGTCACATCGACGCAGTTACTCCAGTAAGTTAGCATTTAACCTTGACACGGCTCCATTCTTGATCGTGAGGCGCAAATGATTTCAATTTCAGTTCAGATATCTATTTCGGCCCCGTTTCCTATGCTATCAAATAGCTAACTTCTCTAATTAAAGGAATTTATATGGCTTTCTGAGCTTGTCCAGGCGTTTTGTCGAATTCGCTGAACCCATCAGCGACGAGGTTGAAACGATGGGCCGTGGGGTCGATGGGGAAATTAGGATACGATATGGATACTTCAAGATATCGTATCTAGAATAAGAAAGTGGATAACATTTACCATCGTGTGCGCATTTACCACAAGATGTCTTCTTTCAGTCAACTAGAGAGCGGCCGAAATTGTTATATCTCTCTCTCTCTCTCTCTCTCTCTCTCCCTGACTAGCATATTATATACTATAATATCCGAGAAAAAAGGGTAATATATAATTTCTTAATGCTTGCATACTAACATGCACATTTGATGTCATACAATTCTCCAACAGGCGATGAGTCAATGGTCACAATTAGGGTTTCATAGTAGTCGCAGCAGCTAATACGACGATCATCTCGTATGAGTATAAACACGTTTTTCCGATTCTTTTGTTTATCGTTATTTGTCTCTCCGCACCTACAGACTGCCACAAAAGATCCGCCGATCGTTTACATGCATACACCACATTTTGCTACACAAATTTACCTAATACATAAAAGCAAATAAAGCATGGCTTATGACCCAAGCCAGATCCGATGTTGGGACAACAAATATAAAGCATTAGAGACACATGAAATGGCCAAAAGCAAGCTAGATTTTCTTTTTAGCCACCTACTTTATACCTTCTTGTTCAGCTCTTGCTGTTTGAGGTTTGTCCATCCAATTCTGCAAGGTATAAGTATTATACTATTGTTTTGTTTTAACCCCCTATAGAATGTAACGACAGTACCAAGCAAACCTTTCGAAAAACTATGCTTTCGCGGGTCCTACCAATTTACATATAGCACGCTACACGTAGAATGTACATGAAGGCACCTTGTATAGATTGTATGGATAGAAGACCATTAATGCCAATTAGTTATTCTTGGGCATTTGTATTGATCTGGGTGTACTCTTATTTACCGGGGCGACAAATAGCTCTCTAGACTAAACCCTGCACACTCAATATGAGAAAATCTTTTTTTGGTTTTGCGTACCTTTAAATTCTTATGAGAAGATATATGAATATGGGTGGTAAATTCTTAAGGACTCTAGCCTCTATGTTCCTTTCCACTAGAGATCGATTCGGAATCCAGTTTTACGTAGCCAACGTCCTACGCTGAGTTTATCTGTCTGTATAGAAAAATTCGGACATGAAATAACGCCGTCTGTTATCCTAGTGAGCACCGTTCTCGCTAGTTACGTTCAATCCAAGTTTCTTCCAAGTCCAATCGTCCAAGTTTCCATGTAAGCACCACCCTGCGTCCCGTCCGGCATCTTGCTGTTTTCTCATATCCGAATGCGCAGTGTGACCTATTCGCAAAGACCGAACGTGGCAACAAACCAGCTATGCTATGACGACTAAAAAATCGCTCCATAATCACTAACGGATCCTTTAAGGAAAACAAGTTTTAAGCGGCTTCCTCGTTGCGCGGCGTCTGTGGCTTGAGTATTCAACTTTCTTTCGAGACAAACTCAAACTGTGCGTGCCTTATTATTAAACTTGCATTTTTGACATAGTAAGTTTTGCCCCAGTTCACACTGGCTTTCTCGAATTTCCCTATTCTCTTCTTCTGGATCAATATCTAATTTAAAAAAACATCATGTATTATACGTAGCAATGTCCTTGCTATCTATCTCATAAGTGACGGAACTTTTCTGGCTATTCACTCGCAATGGCCCTGCGTCCAAGTGATTCCAAAAGTTATGGTTCAAGTTCCACAACATTCCCAGTACCAGAGCAGCCGGAAATAAAACTAAAACCCGCAAAAACGTTTTATAGTACCCTCGAAATCAATTGTGTTTTTCGTGTGACTACAACAAATTTATTGGGTTCAAATGAGCGCCACGATAGATAAAGAAGCGCAGTAACGTATTGTTAAATACTTACAATATATTTATTGACGCTGTCACCTGAAGAGACAATACTAATATCTGGTTCCTCGTTTGCCCGTACCGAGTCACCCCATACGGGGTAATTAAGGTAGAACGTGGCGTTAATCAACTTGAAAAATGAGTCACACATCACTTAGCTTTCACTCACTTCAAGCTGCTCGTTCGTTATAGGATACTCATCCTTATCGTATCGCTAGGCGTACCGTTTTCTAAATTTCATTATAGGCAAATTTGACCTATTGCGTTGCTGGATATAGCGACCTTGAGCATAAACAGGGAAGAGCTGTTTGCGAGATTTAAAGAATGAAATCCATCCAACAGAATGAAAGCTGACTAAGAGCGGGCGGCAATTCTTTGCTGTAACACTCCTTATATATTTTTTTAAAAACGTTATGAAGCAATTCTTAAATAGGTGCCTCGACATGTTGCCGCTGGTTCTGTCTAAAACCTGTAACCGTTCCATGTAACGATCGACCGACAGCAATAGATGGACCGAAAACGCCTCTTTCAATAATATTTAACCCTTAGCGCCATTTTTCGTTTGAAACTAAATACCCTATTTGAATACATAAATCCCCTGTGTATGTCAAGGGTTTACAAAGCAACTGATTGGCTTTGTTATATATAACTTTAAGAAAAGCCACAGGACTAAACCTGTGGACCACCGGACAAATACTGAATGAAAAGGAACCTTACTCAGCAAAGAGCTTATCACAATCGTGTTGTGACACTACATAGTGTAGTTGGGACACTATACCTTTCCGTACAAAAACGGATCTCGTCCCTCGCATCAGCAGTAGCGATTTACTGGAAAAAATGATTCAGGCAGTAACTAGCAATGGGATATTTTGTCTGTTTGTTTATAAATTTCATTTCATATTCGATAGAAGACTGGATTGTTTTGATGTTTGTGTTACCTAACCGGCACTATGAACGGTCGTCAGTTAAGTTACCAGACATTCGAAAAACTGAAATTACCTTCGAATTAGCTAAGCAAGCTCATGCTCTTAATACGTGTGGGATTAGCGTAAGCAGGCATAAATCATTTCATCATTCCCGTTCTTCGTAAACATTTAGCGTTAGTTCTAACTGTTCTCGTAAAACAGCAACTAATCGCTTAGCAATAATTATCTTGCAACCGGCAAAAGATTGTAAAACTGATTTTGACATAACAGGAAACGCTTAGTAGCCTTGTCGTCGCATTGTCTTATACTGAAGAAACCTAAGAGCGATAATTGTCTGTCAATTAAAGGGCCGAACTACTAAATACATGGATGATTCAATTAAATATATGATCTAAATAGAGATGATCCGTGAGATGTGTACGGCCAGCCGCATAAAGACCGGCTTTTGCTGTGGTCATCAGTTATATATGTGGCACTTGTTCGAGTGTCGCAGAAGCAGAACTTAAACGTATTAAGCCACTCCGAAAAGCAGCCCTTCAATAGTTCACGTTGTGTTAAACCTTTCCTGATCGTCGTGTGCATGTTTTGCTGCTAATAATAATAATAATAATAATAATAATGTCTCTAACCCATTCAGGTTGCGGAGGAAAGTATGTCGGATCAAGGGCACTTGTTCGACTTTCGCGTCCAGCGGAAATAAACACGCTATAAGTTCATATAGACAATCCTGTTGGACTCACTCGAGACGATCAAATCTGAGAAGACATTATATATGTACAAAAATAATATTCACTAGTTTGCGAAAGCATCGTGTCTCAGTCATTTTTTTCGTACACCTTAATCGGTATACCCAGGTGGAAGATAATTTTTATAATCTGCATGCATCTTCGTTACATGCGTCACATGTGTTTAAACAGCCTAATGATAATGCAGATATCTTTTTCATCTAAAAGGAAGATATTCCTTGTACATTAAATGTGTGAATAGTGTGAAATAGAAACGGAATGATGACAGTTACGCTTTCTGTGCTGGACTACGAACGATACGACGTGGCCAAGAAAACAAAACAAAAAACACGTTGAGGGAACGGTCAGGTCAGAGCAGGGGTCGACCATTCGGTACATAAATAAGCCATAAAATATCATGCCTTAAGTACTTAGTGGACTTGTCTGTTTCGAAGCATACGTATATGGTATAACCACCATCATCTACGATCTACGTATAACGGAAAACATAATCATCAAACTTAGACCTAATTGTCCAGGTTGCTGTGTGTGTTTAAGCATATATTTATTGTAACTTTCCTTCACACAGGTAAGGGTTGGCTACGGGCTGTATTTGTAGATAGGCGACTATGGGAGAATAAAGTAAGGACAGATTTGCGGAACTGAAGTAGGACAGATTT